CCCCCTCCCCCCCACTGACTTATCCACAGCACAACTTGGGGCTGCTGAACGCTTTTCCTGCCTGTTAATGCACTTGGTTTTCTGCCCCCCTCCTCCTGAGCTCGCTCCGGCCCACTTTCCCGGCGCCCGGGCGCTCGGGGTTTGCTCTGCCCCATCCAAAGTCCTCGGGGCTTCCCTGTGCCGCTTTTCCTCTCCCGTCTCTCTGCAATGCCTCCTCCGGCTTCGGCTGCCTCGGCGACTTCCCGGGGCCTCCTCCGCCCCGGCCGTGGATCGTGGGCCATCTGGCCGCTCAGCGCTGCTTTCTCTGCTCCACGCCTGGTCCGATCGCCTCTCGCTCCTGCAGCCTAGAGGACCCCACTCCCTTTTCTGGCTTCCTGCTCGGGCTTCTCTCTTTCAGACCCACAGGCCAGCCCTCAGGCGACCCCATGGTGTTTGGACTTCTCCTGTCTGTTCTCTGCCACTGCTTATGTGCCTGAGCTGTGCACCCGGCGGTCTGACCACCAAAGAGAGAGAGAAAGTTGACCTTGACAGATGCACAGAAGCCTTTTCTGTCTCAGGACCAGAAAACCTCCTTCTGCAGACTCCCCTGAAGGCCTCGCTCTTTGCTCTGGTGGGCACATTGGGCCCTCCGCAGCAGGGCTTCTTTGCACAAGGGCAGAGCTGCCTTCCCGGGTCAGGACTAGCCATCCAGGAGAGCAGGCCTGCAGGGCAGCACGTCGGCAACCAGGACAGCCACTGCGTGGCTGCCAACTGTGTCTGCTGGCCTTCTTTGTCCTGGACGGGGAAGGCGGAAAGCGGAGAAGTATTGCCGCTTAATTGGTGGACCGGGAAATGGGCTCCAGGCACTGTTGGTGACACCGAGGGGTTCAACCTTTATTGAATTAGAAAACAGATATGGCCACCCATCTTAAAGACATAAAGCCAGAGGGCTGTTCTCAAATGGTCCTGGAGCTTCATGGCTCAGAGAGCACTGGGAAAGGCCACCACTGGCCCTTCTGCTGGGGGTTCCTCCAGCGAACCCTGAAAGGAGCGCATCTTTTCCACACCCAGGCAGCCCGGGAGCGCCTCCTTCTTCCTCCACCGTTGCCCACCTGGCCCTGGTCCTGGCTGATTTCTAAGGCTGCTTTCTGGAGCTCTAGAAATGCTCATGTCTCCCCGGGCCTAGGAGGTCTTGGTCATCAAGA